TAGGTGTAGGAAAACCCTGACACTGTGATATTCTGTGATATATTTAATATTACTTTCCCAAGAGTTCCCGAGCAGCATGTTTTAAAGAACTGGAAAAAGAAAGCATGCTGTGCACTTACTCTCTCTCCAGGGGGTCCCAGTGGTCCAGCAGAACCAGGCTCCCCTCTGGGCCCTCTCTTGCCTTCTTCTCCTAGTGGGCCATTTGGTCCCTGAAGACCAGGTGGTCCCTGGAATCAGATGAATAACAGACAAGGTTAGTACAAACCTGGAAAAAAATATGTTGTATTTTTACATATTAAAGTAATACGTTTTAATAGGTTTGCGTTCCTAAACTATGTGGAAATGTGTACTAAGTCTGTCAGACGACATAGTCTGAAGTGTTTGTCCGCTTTTTCCACAAAGTACTGTATCAATGAATTCTGTTTCGCTGATGAACCGATCAGGGTATACAGACACAAGTCGAAGGAAACAAAACTCACAATTTCTCCTTTGGGTCCAGCCTCTCCCTTGAACCCTGGAATACCTGGGTCTCCCTAAACAGAGAGACAGAGAGAGAAACAATGCATGAGTTATTATGTTTTTAAGACCTGCTTTAATTATTTGGGATATGAAATGAACAACAAACATCAAGTGGTCACTGCAAATACATCCAGATAGTAATATAACTCCAATGAAGGGGCATCCTGTGTGTTATGAATCATTCATTCAGTACATACAGATGTTCCCTTTGGACCAAGAGGTCCAGTGGCTCCCTGAGGCCCGGGAGGCCCACGAGGTCCAGGGAAACCAGGAGCACCAGCGATGCCAGGAGCACCCTATAAAAAAGAGACGGAGAGAAATCTGAAGTCAGTCAGCTGACTGATCACTAAATCAGAAGTATTTCATCTCAGCTTTTAAAGCTGGAATAGAAAGCTCAACATCATTCACTGCTTAATCGGTCAGATTCAATAAGAGATCACTGTAAATGTTCTGTATAGGATGCAAATATTATTAGATGCAGTAGAGTAACTCGGAAGTTGCAAGAAAAAAATTACCTGCATGTCTAAATATGAAAAGGTTAAGTGAGAAGGTGGCAAAAGGTAAAAATGCTAAACTTACAGCGGATCCTTTCGCTCCAGGGATGCCATCAGTACCAGGATTACCCTGCAAAAAAAATAGTCTTTAATCAAATGCTATTAATTTAAAATGTCAGGTGATGTTGATGGAAGGGTTCAGGGGCTCATCTGACAGGATGGTGTGGGTGGGTCTGTCCAAACAATGTTAAACTACAGCAAAAAGCTGCTTTTCCACAGCACAGTTCTCTCTGCTCACTAAAGAGAGTCTGACAAGTTTCTGAGAAAAACATGTAATAAAGAAACTGAGCTGCACTTTTCACAAAAAAAAATAGAAAGTGGTGTGAATTGACAGATTTAGATAAAGAGTTCTAGCATCACTTACAGAAGCGCCAGAGGGTCCAGAAGATCCAGGAGTACCAGACTCTCCACGAGGTCCCTGAGCACCCTCAGGTCCACGAGCACCAGTAGGTCCAGCTTCTCCCTGATCCACAACACAGAGGACAGATGAGTAATGTGTAAGCAGAGTACACAGAGTAACTGAAAAAGACTTCCAGATGGGCTTTAATAAAATGTAAATAGAATTGAAAAGAAGAGTGATTTAAAAAAATAGTTTAATTGAATTGATTTATGTAATAATGTCATATGTCTTTTAATAATAATAATAATAATAATAATAATAATAATAATAATAATGGATTGCATTTTTACAGCGCTTTTCGAGACCCTCGAACCGGCAACCTTCCGATTACAAGACAAACTGCCAACTCCTGAGCCATGATCGTCCTTTTAATATGTATTATGGGATTTATAGGTTTCTTGGTAGTGAAATATAAAAACTAGTGCTTGTAATTATCAAAAAATGGTATTGATTTAGGATAAAAGTAGATGCGAAATGATGCTGCAGACGTGGCTCTTTCTTATTGCAAACTTTATTTAAAAAACAGGAAGTAGATTTAAACTCTTTATGAACTTCTTATATTATGAATATCTTCTATTAAAATACTCAGCGCCCATTGCAATGTAGAAGCGCTTAAACCTGATCTTTCTCATCACCAGCAGGGGGCGACATCTCTAGCTACAGAAACAACAAGTCTGATTGTGTGGACGTTTATTTTAAAACAGCCCAGAGGATCACTTCTCCTGCTGTATCCTCTCAGTAATCATTTTCCTGAAGAGTTTAAGGGCTCAAATGTTTATTCCAACTCTTACTGAAAACAGAAATGTGCTTATTTAGCAACTTATGCTTCCATTTATTGCAAAATAGATAAAACAGCAGGGCATCGACTTGGTTGGAGCCAAAGTGTAATTGTTATACACCTGCATGGTGACAGTTAAAACGCTGAGCTTGAGCCCTAAAGACAGAACCTGTGTGAAGTCTTGGTGGCTAATGCCATCTTTTATATACAGTTTGTGGGTTGTGGGAGCAGTTTTCCTTCTGTCAGAAGGCTTTCTTTTTTCTTTCTTTAATATATCTCTAATATTCATATTGTTTATTGCTTTTGGAAGCTTTTAATATCTGGCTAGGAGGACTCTTTATCCAACAGCATAAAGAGCCTCGAGGTGACAGTTGTTGTGATTTGGAGCAACAGCATTTAGTAAGGATTAGATGTAGGAGGAGAAGATTTTTCAAGGTTTTGTGCTTCAGTATTAAAAAGCCTAACTCGATATTCTGAGCTCCCACCTCCTGTGGACGCAAGCCAGAGATTTTACCACAGTGGCAGTGTGCAACTTCATGCTGATGCATGAAATGTGTTTGTCATTCTTGCTGCGCTGCAGGCTTTCCACATGCAGTAGTAACTATAACCTCACATAGGTCAAAGGTATGTGCAAAAAATATTGATGTTGCAGCCTTTTGTAAATGCCAATAATTTACTGGCTCTAAAGATGAAGATAAAAATCTCAGTATATTAGAGCCAGTAACTCAGTCGCTATTAGATAATAGAATTCGGCTGCAGCAGGAGCTGAAGAAAAACTGTCCATCTCACATTTGTTTATTTCACAACGATAGTTTCTTTAGTTTTTGCAGTCAAGGTTCATATGTGTATGTTGCTTCTGTCTTGTTAGCTTTTTTTGTGCCAGGACTGAAAGGACTTAAATGAGGCAACATCTCATCAACACATTTAAGAAGTTTAGGTTCCTGAAGGCATCGAAGGCATGAAACATAAACATGCATAAAGCCATTCAGACCTTTCTGCAGATAAACTATACTGTGCGTGTTTTTGAATATAACATGATGAAATTTCCAAACACACCCCTTCCCTCGTTTTGAGCCTAGCTTGCCTTTCGCTATTTCAAGGAAAACCTCCTGAATTTTCTAAAGAGACGCTCCATTTGCAATTCCTATAAGATTTCTTAAACAATCAAGGGGCTTGAAGAAGAAAGCAAACCACCAGCACAGGCCCCTCGAGCACAGATCTGAGCCCGTTTGCCATGGAGGAGAAATAAATCAGATTCAAACCACAGACACAAAAGAAGAAAAAAGACAGTAAGGGGAGTGAGAGAGGGAAAATAACACTTTAAACCCCCCCTCCTCCCCAATTTTCCACACAGATGGAGGTTTAAAGCACTTTTCAGTGCAGCGCAGGCATCTCCAATTTCACTGAAGCATTTCATCTTGTCCCCACAAAATCCTCCCTGAGCTGGGTACTGACATCTTCTGAGATAATAACTTTTTTCCTCCTATAAAGAAAATCTTCCTAAAACTATATTCACTTTAACTTTATTTTGGTGCAGAAAAATCCTAAATAAGTGATTCAAGTTTTTCTGGCAGTGTTCTGATAGAAAGAAAGAAGGCAAACAGTGCAAAGGAGAATAACCAACACAAAGGTGAATATGAAGAGGTGCTGAGAGCTTCATTTAGATAAACATGTGACTTACTTTTGAACCGGGCGAGCCAGGGAAGCCTGGAGCTCCGGAAGGTCCAACGGGGCCCTACAGAGAGAAAATAGCCTGTCAGTTTGGCTATTAATCACTGACACATCCAGGTGTGAAAGATCAGATACTCTCATATTGTGGAGAGAAACACAGCTCTGACTTCATGTACAGTATTTCCTACCAGATCTGGATGCAAATGTGGACAAAATAAAAGGAAACTACACGACATCTAAGAGGACACTTACAGGTGGACCAGCAGGACCGGGCAGGCCATCATTTCCACGAGCTCCCTGAATAAAGTGAATAGTGCATTATGAGGACAGGTCAGGAAAAAACACAGCTGGATAAATTATTTCTTATAATCAACAAATAACGCGACGCAGTGTTTAAAGGTTAATGCAATTATCGCCATAACTGCCTAAAAGAAGCACCTGATAAATGCTCTAAATTTACTCCTTTAGGGGTGACAATCCAACCATCTGTTATAAATTATATTAAGTTTGTTTCCAACACCACAGTTTAGAGAGAAACGTGGCACCTACAGCAGCTCCACTGGCTCCAGGACGTCCTCTCTCACCAGGCAAACCACGAGGTCCCTGTGAGGGAAAAGAGGAGAAGTTCTCACCATTACCATCATTTACCAAATGTGTGTGTGTGTGTATACCTGTTTAGACATCTTTGTGGGGACCAAAAATTGGAATGTTATATTTGTGGGGACCAACAGGTTATGGTTAATTTTAGGCTGAGGGTTAGGGTTAGGCATTCATTTTTGATGGTTAGGGTAAACGGCTAGGGAAAGCATTATGTCAATTAAATGTCCTCACTAAGATATAAAAACCTGCGTGTGTGTGTGTGTCATACCATTGGTCCGGGAGCGCCGCTCTCTCCAGGAGAACCAGATTCACCCTGAACAGAGGATTTAACTGTTATTATGGTTCAGCAACGTGGGGGATTAAACAAGTGTCATCTTCAGCAGAGGAAGTCATACGAACACAAGCTGTGGGTCTGTCAGAAGAATCACTACATCTCACCTTAGCACCAACAGCTCCAGTCTCTCCCTTTGCACCGTCACGCCCTGGATAACCCTAAAAGACAGAGACGTCAGGTTACATGACATATAAACACCCGCCCGTTTATGCTGGAATTTCTAGGACAACAAACACACTCACTCTGTGGCCCTTGATGCCAGGCAGACCAGGAGTTCCCGGGAATCCACGAGCTCCCTGTGGCATGAAAGGAAAAGATGTAGACCAACATAAACAGAGGGAATCAACATGAAGCTAACAGTTAAATTACTTTCTCCACAAATACAAAGAGTCCAGTTTAGCAATTTACAGATTTAAATAAGTTTGCATTTAAATGCATTAATAGTTCATCATCTAACTGGAATCAGCATCAGCTGACTGGAGTAACTCACCTGAGGTCCCGAAGGTCCACGCTCACCTGATTTTCCAGGTTTGCCAGCTTCACCCTAAAACAGAAAAAACAAAGACAGAGACAGTGAAGTGAAAACCAAAGTAAACCTGCATTTGAAGTTGTTATTTTGTGCAATTCTTCCTTACATATAAAAAACGTCTGTGTATTTTTTGTCTACTTGTATGTAGTTGAATAGAATAAAGAGCACCCTAGTGGACACAGCGTGTAACGTCACATTTGCTGCCATCATGTGGCTAAAAGGAGGAATTACTTTTTTTATGTCTGTGGTCCAAATGCTGTTTGAAGATTCTTCTGAAGATTGAATTCACAGCATGCTTTGAGCCTCTACTTTGCCTCTACTTTGAGAAAGATTTGCTGAACACTTCAGTCAGCTGCAGAGCTGTTACAGCCTTTAGCTCTGCAAAAAACCTAAATGAGTCCAACCTTCTATACAAAACAAGGATTTGCTCATATAAAACAGCATCACAGACAACATTCATCTGTTTATGTGGAGAATGCATCAGGACTGGAAAGTCCTGCTGCTGCAATCACACGAGTGCACTTTTCTACTCTGAGCACTCAAGCGCTTTATACAACTAGTTCATTCATCCAAGCACTTTTTCTAAACTGTTTAGTGCTTACTGTCTAACATTCATACTCCGATGAATGCGTCGGAGAGCAACGTGGGGTTAGTATCTTGCCCAAGGATATTTGATATGCAGACTGGTGGAGATTGAACCGCCAACCTTCCGGTTAGTAGCTGACCTGCTCGACCACCTGAGCTACAGCCACCCCACCTTTGCCAACCTAACCTTTCATTTTAGTTGCAATGGCCACACTTACATCATCTCCAGGTTTTCCAGAAGGTCCCGGGGGGCCACGGGGTCCCATGGATCCCTGTTAGAAACAGAAAAAATGAGCACAGGTGAGAAACTGTGAGAATCAACAGAGGGCAACATTACACACTTTACGTTTTGATTCATAGGAGCTGGTATTCACAGCTGGTGTCTGTTTCCTGACAATCAGCTCTGACAGAAAACAGAGAAAAGTCACAGATGTGCTTAAAAGGCCTCATTAGTGACCCTGATTATTGCTTTCACAGTTTAAGCTACACTCACTGATGCAAGCCGCCAATATTGTTTACTTATGGAAAAAAAAGATAATGAGCGCCTTAATTTAGAAAGGACACCATACTGTGTTAATCTGAAATGGGAATTGTTTTTGCTAATTGTATAAGTTACGTAATAATATTAATAATTATAAATAAAACTATTCTGTGTCTCAGTAAGAAGGGTTTTGCACAAAAAGTACAGCTTTGGTGAAGGACATAGAACAGAAGTGCTGATTATTAATCTATCGATGCACTGGCCTCCTCTTTGATCTCTGATTTTTCATGACTGGACTTTACGCTTGGCCAACATTTTCACCCCTCTACAACTGTCAAGCTAGTTTCTGGAAGGAAGTTTGATTTTAATCACTCCTAACGATGCACTGGCACCTTTTTAAAAGGGAAAGGCATCTCAGAGACGTTCTGTCTGCATATCTAGACGCCACATGAGCAGATTAACACAGCGGTGGGGAGACCTTGCATTGTCTACCTGCTGAGAGAATAGTGCTGGGTACAGGGAAGGGGTTGGTGGTGTGGTTTCAGTGAACTTTGGGGGAATGAGGAGAAAAAAATTAAAAAAAACTTAGAGAAGCAAATGCAGGAATAGAAAATAAAAACTGATTGGAAGAGATGCAATCTCCTCTCCGAGATGAGTTTATGGAGATAATGAATTGTAAAAATAAATATGTGAGGAAAGGAATGATTGCAAGGATAATGGAAGAATCAGATTTGACCTTTTTATTCAAAATATGCGTGTAGGAAGGTGGAGACAGATATTAACGTCAATATCTCAAGGTCTGTATATTTCATAATTTCAATATTGCCACAGTTGGCAAAACTAACAGACTGTGAAATGCAACACAGGTATGTACAGTAAGCCTCAGCCAAACTACCTAAAATAAAAACAAGTGTTTAAACACCTCTCTGGGTTTTATTTTTTTATTCTTGGGTTGTTCTAGTGCCCATGTTGTTCCAAAATTATTATTTTTAAAAATATTTTTTGGATTTTATGTTATCATTTGAAGAATTTCAAGCTTTTTTA